TTGTTTCTGTTTTCCTCAATCTTGAGAAGGCTTATGACACTATGTGGAGGTATGGCATTTTGTGGGACCTCCACTCATATGGGTTGTGTGGCCATCTACCCATTTTTATTCAGAACTTTTTACTTGACAGGCGATTCTGAGTCTGTGTGGGTTCGACACTATCCCTTTCTTTCACACAGGAACTTCGAGTCCCTCAGGGCTATGTATTGAATGTCACACTTTTCAGTATCAAGATCAATGCTATCCCTTCACAACTTCCTCCTACTGTTGCTAATGGACTCTATGTTGACGATTTCCACATTTCATGTAGGTCATCAAACATGAGGTTTATTGAGAGGCAGCTTCAGACAGCCCTTAATTGCTTGTTGAAGTGGATTACAGCAAATGGTCTTTCCTTTTATTTTTCCAAAATTGTTTGCATGCATTTTTGCCACCAATGGGGTCTACACCCTGATCCCGCACTCCATTTCAGTGATGTTGTTCATTTTGTGGTCCCTGGGGCTTACTTTCATTCCTCAATAAGCAGCTACATGTTAAGTGTACAAGGGCACTGAACATCCTTCGTGTCCTCTCTTCTACCTCTTGGGGAGCTGATCAATTATCTATGGTCAAGATCTATTATGCCCTTATTTGGTCCAAACTGGACTCTGGGTCCATGGTTCTGCCAGGACCTCAGCCTTGAAGATGCTTCACTATCTGGGGCTTCGGCTTTGCATCGGGTCTTTCCGCACTTTTCCAGTCCAGAGTTTGTACACTGAGTGCCACAAACCTCCTCTTCACTTTCTCCATTTGCAAACTGGGATTGTTTTTCTTCCTCAATGGGTTGCACTCTTTCAAAATAGATGGTCTACAACTCCTACCTTTGGTCGTCGTATCTAGGCACAACTGGCTAATTCAATTGGGTCTGGCTATGGATGACATTGCTATCTCCAATGATCAGCCCATTCCATCATGGCTTATTACCATCCCCGAATTTGACCTTTTCTTGAGACATCTGAGGAAGGCAGATACTCCTGGTTGGAAATGCTGTCTTCTCCTTGCTGAACATATTTCAAACCATCCTTTTATCCCCATTTACAAGGATGGTTCGAAATTAGGTGAATCTGTAGGCTCTGCCATGGTCTGTTGTGGCTCAGTGATTGCTTACAGGATCCCTTCTACAGTTTCTGTCTTCACTGCTGAGTTGTATGCCATTTCTCTTGCCTTGAATCATGTAGAAGCTATACACTACAACGATTGTACTATTTACACTGACTCTCTTAGCTCTCTACTGGCTCTGGAATTGCTTAACATTAGTTCTCACCCTATTCTCATTGATATTCAACAATGACTGGCCCATTTTTCACTATCTTTTGTTTTCATCTAGTTTGTCTGGATACCTGGCCACATTGGTATTTGCGGGAATGAGCTCGCTGACACTGCAGCTAAGTCCGTCTGCTCTGGTGCTGTCTGTCAGTTGTGCCTATCTCATGTATTCAAGGCACAGCTTCATGCCAGTTGGCAGTAAATTTGGGGTGAGCAACATCATAACAAGATTTTCCAGATCAAACTTTCTGTTGCTCTTTGGTCATCTTGTTTCTATAAAGATCAGAAAGAGGAAGTTGTCCTGGCTAGGCTACGCATTGGTCACAGTTTTTTATCTCATCGTTTTCTTTTATCTGGTACTGACCCACCAATGTGTAGCCTTTGTGACACTCAAGTCACAGTAGCCCACACTTTACTGCCATCGTTATGACTGTGAGCGGTGGCACCATTTCCGACACATACTTTCTACGAGTTTACCCCTGACGTTGGATGGTGACACTATCCAACTTGACTGTGTTTTTAGCTTATTGCAGGTTTTAGGCCTTTTTAATTCTATTTAAATGTTTTTTACCTGATTTTTGAACTTTGTTTAGTTTTTAACTTGATTTCTTTTTATATTTTATAATCTATAACCATTAAAATTTTTACCAGTGGTTTGGCACAGATAGCCCTGTTGCTTTGTGCCATAAAACGGCAATTAACTAACCAACTATTACATTTAAAATTGTTACATTTTCTAGACAGCTGAAGTATTATTGAAAATTTTTATTCATTACTTTGTGCTTTCATAAACATCAGTTTTTGGTTGTGCTATGGGAAATTTATTGCTACAGATTTAACTCATTTTAAATAGTATGGTGTGTCAAAAATTGTCACAGGTGTTGCTTCAGGTGTTAAGGCTGTAAGGGGACTTAATAAATTGTCTTTGGTCAAAAGACATGCTACGGAGAATTGAAGAAAAACAAATATTTTATACTAAGGTTACTTTTTCCAAATAAATGTACTTCTACAACATTAGTTCAAACCAACAGCTAATGTTAGTGTGTTCCCTAAGTAAAGGCACACAGTATTATTTATTGTTACTTTCATTAATAATATTGATTATATTATTCAGTATATGAAATGTATATCAAATAATTTGTTTGACTTTCTAACTAAGTTATATGTAGGTTAAAAAATCTCATTTCTGTTCAGAGTAATGACTTACTTAACAGACTTCACCATTTCTAATGAAATTACATGTTTCTCTTTCAATAACAAACAACTGTCAAATTTACTTAACTTGGAATGTGCTCTTTCCATTGGTGATAAACATGTACTTAAGAGGTGTAGGCATGAGTAGGAAAAATGGTCCAAAAGAATGGAGTAGGCTGGGCTACCCTAGTAGGTTTGCAAAATATATTGAAATCCCAGCAAATTAAAAAGTTGGGAGGTATTTATTTTTTATTTCAGTTTTTAAATGTCTGAAATTTAAGTTTCTAATTTGTTAACAATTATAGACATTGTATGGTAAGTATAATATAATCTGAGCAAGAAGACACACAAAAACGTATATGTAGCATTTTTTCAAATATAATCTTTTGTATCAAGAAATTAAAAGATATATATATATATATATATATAATACTAAAATTTAGATTATAAACTATATTTTGATGCCATTGTTAATTACTATTCTATTGATTATTAAGGTTGTTCA